CATTTCAAGAATAGAAAATTAAAAAAAAAAAAAAAAAAAAAACCATTACAATAATATCGTTACACATATTATAACCTGTTTAAGTGCACACTGAACAATATCAATTTTTTTTAATCTAACGCGGTGAGTTAACGAAATGCAAATTACCGATATTATAAATATAACTATACAGTTAGGTACTTGCAAATAGATTATGGGGAATCCAAACCGTTTAATATAATATTATGAAATACTATTACTTTAACAAAATACGATACACCGCCGCCGTGCCGTAAGTCCTATATACATATAATAGAGTAATATTATATTACATAATCGATATTGCAAAGGGTTCGGTGTGCACACAAAAAAAAAAATAAAAAAAAAAAATTACATATTGTCATTCGTCGGGAGACGTGTGAATATGACTCTCCTACGCACGCACAATATTCTACATAATATAATACGTATTATATCACAATGCGGCTTAAAACTCTTCCCGGGTGCGATCGGACAAGTTTCACGAGCACGATGACCCACGAAATGTGCATCGTAAAATAATATATAATATACTTTTTGTTCTATCCTTGAAATTAAGTTTCCTATGCGTATATTTTATACTCGTATATAATGAAAATCTAGGTGTATATATGTATATATATATAGGTACAGGGTGTCCCACTAAGATTTTCCCATTGTAATAATTTCGAAAATAATAAAGATAATCAAATTCTGTTTTTTTTTTTTGATTACTCACACGGTTAAATTCAAAGATTATGTTATATTATTTGTTATAACCTAAAATCATGTAGCTTTGGTAATTGACTATTATTATTAATACTATCATAAGTAATTGACTGTACACTTTTTTCTATTCTCTTCTCTTTTTTCTGAACTTTGAAGAGTGTATTAAAAATCACAAATTTTAATGAAAATATAAATATTTGTATTTGTTATCCCAGTGACTAATATATATATATATATATAACAGAATTTGATTATCTCTGTTATATCAGGAGATATTGCAAAGGATCGTGGGACATCTCGTACAGGTGTACAAATATAGAAATTATATATTATTTTCAGATACCTAACATAATGCCCCTATTATATCTATACTAACTTCGGCGACCTAAATCCAAATTAATTAATTACTCATGAACTTATTGTTCGAACTGTAAATATTTTTTCCTTACGTTTCAATGTATTGTGGGGTTTAAAACTAAACAGATCGAAATAACAGGATAAACGGGGTTTTCCAGAAATTTTAAAACGTTTCCCAAAGTGTTATTTTGAACATCTTATTTAAATTTAAAAACTATATCGGAAAAAATTAGAATATTTGCATACATATATATATATACCTAACCGTTTTCGAGGTTATCTTCAGAGGGTATTCTTTTTACTTTTCTGAATGAAATAATAATATTATTATTACGTTCGCTGTAATTAATTGAAAACCACTAGAACGCTCCATTGTGTTGACATAATCTAACGTCAACATAACATAAAATAATACAGACTGTGAACAACATTTCCATCGTATACTAAGTATTGTGCGATTGTCGTTCTTTAATACAATATAATAGTATAATGTTATAGCAAACGATTTTGTTCCCAAAAAAAAAATTTAAAGTACCTAACTTATTTGCTTTAATTATTTCACGTAAAACTTCCTCGAGGAGCTCCGTGATCATAAATTATAGGACGCAGAATTTTTCAGCAATTTGATACTGTGTAGTGCCTGGCAAAAGTGTTTTCACTTTGTCCAAGATTGTGATTTTTTTTCTTGAGAGAAGATTTTTTCTAGGTACAATGGTATATTGAAATTCACGTTAAGACTGTTTTGAATTTGGAAAGAAAGCTTGTTTTTTTTATTTATTATCGCCACTTGCATCAGTTTTATTGCTCTCAATACTTGATAGCAGTCACAGAATTTTACCGAATAAAACTACTCATCTCAACATTTAGACTTAATAATTAGTATTGATTTTGATTTATCTGTGTAATTTTGTACGTAATAGTAATTAGTAGGTAGTTTATATTAAGCTTTAAATAAAATAAAAACTTCCTTTATAAACCGAATCGAGTGAATATACATTCGGTGATGTTTTTTCAATCTCGTTAACATAGATTGTAATCGGGACAAGACCGTTTTGCTTATATTAGGCTACTGCTCACATTAACCGGAATCCATTATAGTTAAAAATTAAATAAATAAACTAAGAGATCAGAATATAAAATTATAACATACTCGTACATGAATTATTATAATTACACTCCGTGGAAAATAGTTTTCAAAAAGGCATGTGTGTAACAGTTATTATATAAAGTAGAAACAAATTAAATTTGTTTGACAAGACGTAAAAAAAAAAAAAAAAAATCGTCTTAAATTGAACCATGGATGCAAACCCTCTCCCGAAAATAGTGCCACGCAGTTCTATAATAATAAAAACACCGAGTGTGATAAACAACAATTTTGAATCACCCGATATTGGATTTAGAAGAAAATAAAATAAAAATACTGCAGGTCCCAAAGCGACAAGCGGTTCTCCTGCACTCAAATTGGCAACCTATATAGTCAATCGGCTGCGAACTCCTCCACTACACTCGGGCGTTTCGCCAAAACTCTTGTCGGTTTTACATATTATCACGTTCACGAATTCACGATACTCCCGTGGGGGCGCAAAAGTTGAAAAGTGTTTGAGACTTCCTGTAGCAAGCGTAACATCACCCTTTGCAAATGTTTATTTAGGTTTACCACTGTTACCGTTGTCATCATTACTATTGCTGTTTTGCTATAGTTATTTCGATATATCAATGGCGTAATAATAATAATATACAAATATCGGTATACGTAGAATATAAAACTTGATGGGTTCATCAGAAACGCAATTTAAAAAAAAAATCACAAAAAAAAAAAAGGTACGTTACACTACAAATCATTCTGGCATTTTATGAATCATTAATAACTATATACTTGACATTTTTTACTTAATTTTAGTTTTTATGTAACTTTACATTTTTAAATTTATTTTTATTATTTTTTCAAAATTAAAATTTACGATAAAATTTATTAGAACATGAATAATAATTTAAATTTATTTTTTTACTTGAAGATTATAATATAGTTTTAAATTTCAATTTGTCAAAAAAAAAAAAAAATGTTTTAACCGAACTCTGCTCAAATTTGTAAATAATTTACTTTATAAATGTTCAATGATTTTTTTTTGTATACAAAATATAAATTAAATTAACTAACTAAATAAACCTAATTATATATATATAAATAAATTACTATCAATTGTACGTTCACAAATTCTCTCCTTGCACAGTAGCTAGCCTAATTATTAACACTGCCATAATGTACGAGGTGCTTTATCCACCAGCAAGGTCTTGTTTTTATTTTTAAATTTCCGTATGAATTTATCGAAATAATAACATAGATATATATTTCAAGATTGAGAGGGGAGACCTAGTAGAGATTTAGCATCCAATCTTAAATGAATTTAGGATTCGCCTAAGTAGTACGAAGTTGACATCAAATAATTTTCGAATTTCCTTGTGCATTTTTATTTTATATGTAAAGTGGTAACGGCGTTAGATATTGTAATAATATTGATAAAGAGCTATGTGACCAATTTATCAACAAAACTCTTAAAACGAAAACAATGTCTCGGAATATTGTTGCATTTGCGTTTAATTAAAAAATAACTACTGAAAAGTTTAAGATTTAAAGTTTCGTGGAATTTGTGCAGGTTGTTTTATGGTGATTCGTTAGCATATTATAATATTCATTTCCAGTTAAAACGGAGTTTCAAAGATACCAAAAATAAATGCCCATATATATTTTAGTATCTAGTGTGACGTACATAGATAATATTAATGTATTTTTGTTTTAAAGTTTTTTTAAAATTTTCCGAGAACACAAGTAAAACGAAACCTAAAGAGTAAATTGTTGATATTTTTAAAAAAAAGGTTTCGAGTAAAGTACCGCCATCAGGCAGAAATATTTCACCGTTTAAGATATTGTGTGAAGAAAACGCCAACAAAATGTTTTCAAATGAAACACCATAAAGCGCAGTTTTTAAAAAAAAATAAAATAATTTTCAAATAAATAAAACATACCTTGTAAGGTAGAGCGTGAAAATATCTAAGTAATTTTACTAATTCAAAAAGTTTTTGTCGATAAAAAACAAAATCACAAATCTTATACTAAATCTAATATAGCTTCTTCATGCCCAGTTGACGTTCTATTACGTGTTACCTTTACCAAATTTATATTGGTAACACGGGTTAAACTAGGGTAAAATTGTTTAGAGAGCTATCGATATTCTTGACAACAAATTCAATTATATATACAAATTTTAACTAAATTACTTATTTTTGTGAGCCTATTTGGGTTTTTAAAAACCAATATTTTTTGTGAAAAAATCAAATTTTGGTATCAAAATGACCGGAAGAGGGTTGAAAATTGATATCAAAAAAAGGCACATCCTTGATACACTATATACAAAATTTCTTTATTTATTCTATTACTGATCAACTATTTTGAACTTGTTAAAAATAATCTATTAATAATCGTCCAATTTCTTATATTCGATTAATCGATTATAATCGAATACTATTAGAATAATCGATTATTGCGAAAATAATAATAATCCCGCAGCCCTAGTCACAACACAGGAAACGTAAGAAATTATCAACATTTAGGAGTTGTAATCTATAGTCCTTGCCAAATAGCAATAAGAAGATTGCCATTGATCTCAAACATCGATGTCATAACTCACAAATAACTTTTGAAAAGTGGAAATATAATTTAATTTGTTGTGATATCAATATAAAAATGAGTTCAGTCAATATTGTTTCGGATTTTTTTTTTCACTTATCAATGTAAAAAATCTGGGATTACTAATTTAGAAATTAGAAGTGTTAAGAACTCCCTAGCTCCCCCTAGTTTCGCTTATGAATATTCCCACGGTTATTTGAATATTCAAATTTCAAAACAATTATTTACAGGTATGACAACATGTCTGAAAGACGTGTTTATCGAAGTACCGCTGGCCATCAAAGAGGGCACCACCGCCGTTATGCGGTGCGATTACGATCTGGAAGAAGAAGCTCTATACACGGTCAAATGGTACAAAGGCCGGCAGGAGTTTTTCCGTTACGTGCCCAAAGAGTTACCGCACACGAGGGTTTTCCCAATAGCCACCATCAACGTGGATGTAAGTCAGAAATAATAATAAAACATGCACTTAATAATTACTACGCGCTAGACACGGATTTACACAATTGCCTTTAGGCAAATTTTATATTTCGCCCCTTTAAACTTATTAATAAGAAAACGAATTTTTATGTCCTTATTTAACACAACAACTAAAAAAAATAAATCATATAAACTGTTCTAATCAAACAAATATTGTTTATAATATACAGGGTTTATCTATTAATAATATCCGAATATTAAGTCTATCCGCCTTGAGAGTTGTGATGAAAATAATTGAATGTATAATCAAAATAAACATATGGATAATACCTATTCTCTACTCGATCCTGCCCTCTATTTCATAATCACGAAGAAAAATTTTATTACAATTTTATCTTTCGGATAGAAAAAATTTGTATTTATGTAAACGTAGTGTGTAATAACCAATACTTGATAAATATGTATAAAATTAAATTAACTTTTGGATTACGAAAATGTATTACTATTAATTATAGGTAGGTAGTTTCCTTCAATAGTAAATATTAAAAATCACCTTAGAAAATCTAAAAAAAAAAACCTAGTAGTCTCAATAAAATATTGGCGTAAAATTGCCGCCTTAGGCAACAACCAACTTTGCCTGACGCTAAATCCTCCACTGCCGCGCTATGTTATAGTGCGGTTTAATCACTTCGGAAATCATGAAATCGGCCAAACGGAATAACTGATAACTATATTATTATGATGAAACTCTAAACATGGCTCATTGCCATCAAAAGTTCTCGTGCGCATTTTCCGAGCAGGTTAATAATGCCCAACAAGAAAATATGTGGACAATTTTTATTATTTTAATTAATTGATTAATTAATTAATTTTTTTTTTTTTTTTGTTTGATTTTCAACAGGTCAGTGAATCGGGACCGAACCAAGTAGTGCTGCGACAAGTAACGCCCGAATTGGATGGCAAATATAGGTGCGAAGTCAGTGCGGACGCTCCGACGTTTCACACACAAATCGTAGCCGCTTGGATGCACGTTGTCCGTATGTATAATTATAATATTTAGCTAACCTTTAAAAACTTATAATTGCCTGCAATTATAAAACAAAATATCAGAAAAAAAAAAATAGGACAGCTGAATTTTAGTAGACATTTTATTTATTGGATGGTTTTTATTAACATACCAAAAGTCCTCTAAGATTTCTTGACAACTGCCTCCATTAGAGCGCGCTTTGTGTAAGAAAAATCAGTTTTTCACAAATTACTCGGTTATTTTTAATACTTTTAAAGCCGCCCGTGATTTAGGCAGTTACACCGTGACGACGCGTTGTTCATACCGTGACGCGTTTACGCCTCAATGTTATTAGTAGCATAACTCAATTAATTCATAAAATTTAATAACATTTTATTATTACTTTTTAACAGCTTTATTGTTATCTTTTTATGTATACAATTTTTAGACAGTATACAAACATGTTATATATCATATATAAAAACATAAAATATATGTATATACAATTTCCTAATATAAAATAGCTATAAAATAATTCGAAAAATGTTTCAAAAAATTAATAAATATACTAATTATTATAAACTTCTAAAATTAAAAAAAAACTTTTTTATATTATTTTGCATGATAATTTTCGAAGTAGGATCCTAAACATAGTGGTGGATTATGTGGACAGAGAGCACAGTAATAAGATGTGTCTTTGCATTTACCGCTTTCTTTACAGTAACTTCATCGTTTTCGTTGAACTTTTAACGTTTTTTCGCTTTTTGATAAGAGTTGTAGAGTATGTACAAATGGAACTGCAGTCGGTAATTTAGTCGTAATTTTACATAGTTTTTCTCCGAGTTCATCAGTTTTGTTTTATTTTTTTTTTTTTAACAATGAACGTATGATATTCAACCAAAAATTATTAAAATGTATTTTACGTTAATTTTTACAATACAAAAGACAAGAATTGAGAAGTAGCTGTTGTAAAATATGAATACCAACTTTCTTGTACCATCGAAGAGTTTTTCGTTCACACGGGTAGTAAGTAGGACATAATTTGGTCTTAACGATCTACACCTGAATTATAAGTAGTTGAAAAAGTAAATAATAGTCAGCGGATAAAAATTATGTAACATGAAACTGAAATAAAATAACTTACCGTCAAAATAATTATGAATTGGTCTAGTTGTTCTAAATATGAGATAAAACAAAATTTACAGGCGTCCGTTATAGTTTCGTGGATAACGCGAAATCAAACAAATTAACTAAACTAGTGGCAATGTAGACATACTGCATGATAAAGTAGGTTACAAATGTTACAATAGTTGTTCAAAATGTGTAAATGATTAAATATCAGTAGAAATATGCGTAAAATATCTAATATACACTTTGTATACGTTCATATACATTGTTTTGGAAAGGCCGTCAGAAACAACGATTATCCGTATCTAAAAATAACGAAAACTCAAACCAATTATAGATTTGAATTTAGAGTTTATTGTCTACAACCTGTGTATATTCCAGAGAATATTAAAATAAAACCGATTAAATTATGGCGGATACAAACGTATACGTTACTGACGCATAAACGAGTCGCTGGCTCAATGGAATAAACTCTTTTGACGAATATACGCGTCAGCGACATTGAAAGTGTTAAGATAAGAAGAAAAATATCCGTGCACCAAATTAAAGAAAAAGATTGCCTACAAAAAGTGTGCTTACAAATTAATTCATGGGAACAATATGTACTTTGCTAATCGTACATTAATTATCAGTGTATTGGAAATTTCTGTTTTATAACGTCGGTAATTATTGTAACTAACACAGTTTTTTCTTTATATTACGTATGTATATTTATACATATATCATTTTAATATTCAATTTATTTCTTTATATTTATAATTACATGTTAAATGTGCAAATTATTAATGTATGCATAATCTATACATATTTAAACATGCAAACGAGTTATTACATACCTATATAAAAATAAAATTAATATCGATTATGTGTTACAATTTTGGTTACTACTTAAACTATTATTTTAAACTAAACTTTATTAATAATATAATTAACTTTATATTTTATTGAAATTTTTTACAACCAAATATTATTATTATCGCAGTCATTCAAACGAATGGTCAGGAGAGGAATAAATGCTACTCAATAAAAAAATGTGTGGATATGTGTGGATTGCGGTTTGAATATTATTAGAAAAAAAATTACTTTATTTCTTGTTTTGTTTCCGAAATTCCCTATAAATTGTAATGGTTCTTAACATATAGAAATAAATTAATAATTTTACAACATTATAAATAAAAAATAATAGAATACATAATATAATATAATATATTTAATAAATAATTAAAATAAAAAATTTAAAAAAAAATACATACAAATATAAAATTACATAGTTAGATATTATTTTTGCTTTCAAATGGTAACGGACATATAAGTCACACCGCCATTTTCTTTCCCCCACTATTCGTTTATACTTTGGCTACCCTGACTTCACCATCCCTTCCTGGAAATATCTTCGTGACTTTTCTTAGGTTCCAGTGCAATGGCGGCCAATTGGTATTCTTAATGAACAATATTGTCCTAACCTACATTTGATCTTCCCCTGATTGCTCCCATTTTTGACGACTCTGGAGCTGAGTGATATATTTAACACTCCACCTTCTCAATATCTGCTGTGACATCTGCTGAACTCTTTGTCATTGAGATAATATATTTTGGGAAATCGTTGATACGTCGGGCTCGGGTAACGCTACTAGCGAGTTTCCTGTCAAAAATTGCGTAGGCGTAAAGACTGATAAACCATGTAAGTCGGTTGATAAAAGAGTTAGGGGAACGTGAATTAAGACAAGTTTCTATTTGTATTAATAGTGTGTAAAATTCGTTGTAAGTAAACTTGACTGCCGCAGATAAACTTCGGTTAAGATGTTTCTTTACACTGCGTACCGCCACTTCCCACAAGTGCTCTAGGCGGATAAAAATGCCACTGAATTTTTCAACCGGTCATATACTGCTCGACGCAAGTCCGATGACTTTCAAAATTAATAAGCAGCTGAAAATCCTTAATTTTACTATTGAAACCCATGAAACATGTTGCATCACCGAATTTATAATCTTGTGTAATCCTTGATGGGAAATAAAACAGGTGAGTTCTGCTATAAACGACTCAGTTGAAAGGTCACATACCAACTCCAAATGTGTAGCCTTGAACGTAAAACAAACAAACAAGCACGTATACGCTTTATGCACTATACTTTTCATTGACTATACTTTATACACTTAAATAAAAATGACCCTGCATAATCTAAACCACAACGTACCAGTTTTTCTATTTTTGTTTTTGGTAGGTATTCCATACTGGATGAAAAAGCTTTTAGTTGTACCTTAAAGCATATGACGCATTGACGAGTTAACTTTTTTGCCGTTTTCTAGTCGCCTAGTACGGCTAGTATTGGCTAGTATGGACCCGCGTGGAACTATTCATGTCGAATCAACAAAATAGAAAAATAAAATGCTTTCTGTATTAAAATAAGGTGTTGTGCACTATAGTCGATATTAGTCGCATTCATTAACCGCCCACCCACGCGTAAAATTCCGTCATCGTCAAGTAACGCCTTTAAACTAAATATTTTACTTTTTTAGAAATTTCCCGTTCATTTTTCAAAACGCTAATTTCTGTATGAAAATAAACACTTTATAAAACTGATAAAATTGTTTTTCCTGTATAACGGTATTTTTTTTCAGTATCATCATTTAATACGTCCGTTTACGAAATTTTTACGACCTCTCAATTAACGATCTAAGCATTAAAAAAAATTGTATGCATTCAACTAGAGTTATCAACTTTTATACTTATATTCTATTTAAAAAATAAAATAAAATTTGTATAAATTTGAACATGCAGTATAGATAATAACATATGATAGGTATTTAAAAATTATCATATAATAATAATATTAATAAAATTTAAATAATAATAACTATATGTACGACAATATGTCAATTAAATTCAATTATTTATTGAATTATCTATTAATGAATATAAACACATACATATATAAAACCAAAAATATATTTTTTTTTTATTTTTTATTATCGAAACTATGTGTACATTTATGCATATTGGTATTTTTTGTTTTATTTTTGCATACAGTATTAATTAAGTTTTAAATGTTTGAAAGAGATTTGTATTAAACTGTATATATTAAATAATCTATGTTGAATCCAAACAAATTGATTGTGTTTCTCACAGCACCGCTGTGTGGAGCAAAAACAAAAGGTGTACAAATTCGGAAAATAGTCATACAGATTGCATACTAAATTTTAGTAAAAAAAATTGGCGAAAATCGTATGTGGGGATGCTGTGGAAATGTACGTACCGATTGACAGTATTTTCTATAGTTGGGAGATTATTATCTTCATCTAGTATTGATTCAGTGTCAATACCATTATCAAATACTTATATATATATAAACAATTTTCAAACGAAAAAAAAAACAATATCGCGCGGAAAATTCGCGTAATTTAAGGCATGGCATAGCAAAATTAGAGTACATTACTAACCAAAGAGTGTTTTCAGAAAAAAAAAAAAATACAAACAAGTCTTGGTAAAATGTATAACTTCTTGAATAAATACGCGACTAATGTTTTCATACTGATATAATATATTATACATTATACAGGACCTTTACGTGTTTAACATAAGTCAACGTTATATCAGAATAATATTTATTTTTCTCCAAAAATTATTGTAATAATATACTAACTTTCTGTAACTTTCGAAATATTATATTTCATGGCCTCATCGTCTCAATGTTTAACATTTCAAACAACAGAGTTTTTTTTATATACTTACGCAAAATGTTTTCTGTAATTATTTGTATAATCGATTCTTTTTTTCACTTGTAATTAAATTAAAAATAATCCTAAATACTTGAAACTTCTATCGAATATTTATTAGTGCATCTGATTTGTTTACTAATAAGTTTTTAAAATTACCGTTTTTTTTTTTTTAAATTGAATATGATGAAATTAATTATTATTCGAATGAAATTCAAAAATTGTATACTTTTCACTCATATATGCTGTTCTAATGACAATTTGTTTTTTCATATACGTTTAAAGTTTATATTTTTATGAATGTCATAAAAATCACGGCATTTTTCTATTGATCTGATATTCTGTTGTAATTATATTAAGCACATTTTAATGTTTATTAAAATTATGAAAAAATTTAATTTCTTTCATAAAGTTAAAATTAATGTACAACTTTCAATTTTAATTTATCAAAAAATGTTTCACAGAACTTCACTAAAAATTGTTTTCATTGTTAAATTTTTATCAGATATAGATATTATATATTTAATTAGATACCTATTAAATATATTACCTAGTCTATCTTGCAACTTCTCAAATTTGTACTTACAAAAATTTTGCACCTATGGTGAGTCATCCTCTTTAATAGGTTCTTTTTCCAAATGTTTTTTTAAAGATCACTGGACTTCTTTTGGACTTTATTTTCGTTATTAATATTGCGTTTTATAAAATGTGTTATATCTACTCGTATTCGAAATATTTTAAAGTTTAATATTTATTTTTGTTCCGCAATGCTGTACTATCGGAAGCCAATGGAACAGATGGGTTTATCTCCTGTATTGTTTAATTTCGAGAATATTGAATTGAGTCCTAAATAATCAAACAAATATTATTGGGTTGTTTGAGTCCCGTCAGTCTATTAGTGTTATCCAGAATCAGCCCTCTTACAGATTGTTGAGCAGTATCCCAAAAATAGTATGTGCTGTGTATTATAATTTGTTTAAAGTGTTTAAACAGTCACACATAACATTTTTTTTTTTTTTAAATTCTGAACACACTGAGGAATGTATTGGTTTTACAGAGATATTTTTTTTTTTTATGTGAACAATTTTTCTACCCAAAAGCTTACTGTGACATATACGATGAAGATCTTTTTCTGAAAAGAAGTTTTCTTAGAGTGGTACTTAAAGATACCGATTTTTCGGGAGGTTTTTCTCATAAAATGTGAAAAACTGAAGAAAAACCGGGAAATGTACGAAATATATTAGTAAAATATCACGATTTTTTTTTTCTGTGGACAACTTTTCTACTAGCAATTTCGTTCCAATTTACAATGAAAGCATTTTTTCTAAAACGAAATCGGACTGAAAAGGTACTTTAGGGTGGTCATTTTTCGATTTTTCCAAGAATTTTCCCGACAAATGTAAAAAGAAACGGAAAAAACATAGGATAACTAGGAAAAACTTAAGAAAAATGAAAAAATCGGTACAACATTAGACAAATACTATTAAAGAAAATATAAAATGCCTATTTAATTATTTTACCATAATATAACATATATATTGTTGATAAAACATCATTATTAACTGAACTCCGCTCAGAATCGTTTTTAATAAGCAATAGTTTATTGTTGCTTACAGATAGAAATAAAATTCCCTGCTGTATCCTACCTTCCTAACTTCTCATCTAAAACAGTGGCTACACCCACGTGCGAAGTGTGTCCGTCTTTTTTATTTTCTATCTGTTAGCAACTTCTCTACAGGAAATCTTAATTTGGAAAATTAATTAAAAGGGAGTTTTTCTATAGCCTTTTAAGTCATGTTGGTGCACTTTTTTCGATTTTTTCAACAGTGTTCATATTAGCTGGAAAAAATAAAGTAAGAAAAACAGGAAATATTACGGAAATAACGGTTTCATTATTTTTCATTTTGATTCTTGGTTTTAATTCAATTAAAAATATTTATATACCTAATGTTTATAATATTAATTCTTTATAGACGTGGTAAAATTATACAAAATATTCGGGCAATTTTCTAGCTATTAATCGACATTTGACATTTTTGAATTATTTTAGTTATATTCTTCTTATTTTAATACGAATAATTCAGATTTAAAATCAAATAAACTGAAAAAAAAAAACGGTTTTGAGTGAAGTTCAGTTGATAGTGTTGCTTTGTCAATAATATATGTCATATTATGGTAAAATAATTATATATGCATTAAACAATTTGTTTAATATTTTATTCTCCCAGTTGTTCCCGTTTATTGGGAAAATCAAAAAAATGACCTCTTTAAATTACCTTCGTAGTCAGATTTCCTTTTAGAAAAAGTGCTGCCATTGTAAATCAAAACAATATTTCTGTTATAAAAACTATTTATAGATAAATAAAAAACTGAATTTTTTTGTAAAGCCATTAGTTATCTTCGCTCCACTCAGAATCTAAAATACCTAGAAAACTTGAAGTCTCCGTTTAGCTAATTCTCTGTTTAAGCGCAATATTAATTCAATTTACTTTAAGTACCCATACAATAACGGTATGTACTATTATATTTTCAGGAACAATGGACGGTAAACCAGAACTACAACTCGAAAAGCCACAATATTCTCCTGGTGAAAAACTCAGAGCGAATTGCTCGTCGCCACCCTCGAATCCGCCTGCTAATATCACTTGGTTCATAAATGATAAGGAGGTCAGTAAAAATATTGTTTATATTGTTATCGTTATAACAATATGTTATAAATGTATACGACGTCAAAGTTAAAACAATTGTGCACGCTATATATTTTATTTAGTTGGATCCTTTTTTAGTTGTTGTTTAATCGCCACTAAAAATACAACGAAAAAATAGTTTTATCTTAAGTTTTCTTTTTTCATTGTTATTGTCCGATTTTGTAACCTGTTTACAAAAACTCTGCTCGCTTTTATCTGGCTGCTTATAATTTTCACCGGATAGACATAAGACAACGTCATCTTATCACCCAACTCCCAGCATAGTTAATTAATTAAACAAACTCTACAGACGTATTTCGGTTCGTTAATTGTTTTCCTAGAACTTACTCAAAAGAATGATATTTTAATTAAAATGTATTATGTTTATGTAAATTAGTTACTTTTTAACCTCTTTTTGTCCCAAGTGCAATACCCAATGGTCTTAAATCTGTTGGAAATATCTGATATAAAATAAGTTTAAACTTATTCTTTCTTAGATTGTACCAACAATTTTTTACTACAGTTAAGTTTCAACAAATTCAAGATGCGTTATTTTTTTATACAGTATTATCTGTTTTAAGATTTACAATTTTATATATTATAGTTAATACAATGTATGTTAAAGAGTTGACGGGTATTCGTATAAATATATCACGACACATTAACGAAAATATTAGATAACATTTCATATATAGTTAAACGGCCATCACAGTATGATATATGGAATCTCTCTGTTTAGGTGATTTTTCAATAATGTGTTCGCGTAAAACAAATTTAAAAACCTTTAAAGTGGGTTTTAGAGATAAACACTGTATAACATAATTCGTATATGATAACATTTTGAAGGTAATTTGGTCGGAGTTTTTGAAAATAGCTATTGTTATTTTTTTATATTTATATTTATTTTATATTTAAGAAAAAAAGTAATGTTATATACGATTCTTTGTATCTTCGATAACGAACTGAATATTAAGAGAGTATTGTAAAACATCGATGTAGCTATCTTAATAAAATATATCATCTACAAATACTAAGATAAGCTAATTATAAACATTTTCTCGTTTGTTTTACGTGAACACATTTTGCTATAAATATGTTCAGTTAAACAGACGAAAATAATACAATACTATTATTATACCTATAATGTTAAGAAAGTAATAAAATTGTCTGTATCAATCTATCTAACGGACAAAATAGAAAAAAATGTGTTTTCGTACTTCCAATAATACCCAAGATTTAACAGACCTAAAACAAAAATTATTCCAACAAATTAAAGAGTGATTTTTGTATGTATTTATATATAATTTTCTACTAGGATAAAAACAAATTTAATAAATTTTTTTTTTTCATTTTATAGTTTAAAGTACGAATATCTTCTCTAAAATGTAGACATCGGAAAATTTCCGAAAACATATTTTTACTATATTTCTCGTTAAATAGACAGACCAAATATTACTGAAACGCCATTTTTAAGATTATTTTGAACGTAGGATATTTGCCCATAAAAATGTTGAAAAAATAGAAACGCGTATACAGTACATGTACAGACTATAGGTAATTGGCGTAAAATAAGGTACTGAAATTATAAACAGAGCGCACTGTGTATAGTAAAAATATTATTAAGATACTACTCGTAAACTAATTTATGTATAAAAAAAAAAGTCATATAAAATGAAGATTTGTGTACTACATAATATTTGGTCGACTAAATTCGAACATTTTGATATAAAAAAAATAATGTAGGCATTAATTTGTTTAAATTATTCTGCTTTTTATACTTATTAAACCAATTGATAGTGATGCTTGATTATGATTCGTATTATATTTAATTGGCTGTATTGTAAAATATGAACAGGTATCATATTTAAGATGAATGAGTTTTATAATTGAGTAGCGCCTTTAATTCGATCGTTCTAAACGGTCTTAATCGAATAATTGAATAGAAGTACTAATTTAGAATCGTATAATATAGTCATTCATGTTTGTATTTTTTTTAATTTTTTTAACTTAATTTCGTAAATAATGTCCGTCGAGTTTTTCAAATGAGTTTATCGTTATTTTGGTTATCAAAGTTCTATTTGTTATAAATTTACGGAGAAAGGGGAGGGATAATAGAATATATAGTGCTGCAGTTGTTAAAGCGGACAAAACGCATTTTATTTTTACGTGAATCCGTGTCATCTGTCTAAGGTTTTCTGCTGTAACGAACCTACAATATTTCGTGATTGATATGTCCAAACAGTTTAAAGAGATAAATCGTAAACACATCTTTGAGCGAAGAGTGCAAAAGTGTTATATACGAACGAATTTTGATTCATTTACTTCATTTATCCATTATCTGTACCGACCGTAAATAGAGTACAGTACCTATATAATATTATTTAAATATTTCCGTAAATAAAATAGTATAGATTTATGTATACATGGTGTTATTGGGCGTGTATCTGTTAAAAACTATATGTGTACTATTTTTTTTTTTTACTTTTTTAAGTCAGCTTGGGCGGTTTTATCATTGTAAGTATATATTCGATCTTCTGCGATTATACGTATATAGGAGGTTAAAATAGGGGAAAACGATATTGACATTTGCACTAATTTCCACATGCGGCGCTAATGGATAAAAGATTAGACAAAATCCATTTTAAATGAAAGAAACGATCTAAAAGAAATACGTTGTTTCCCAAATAAAAATCTAAAATACTGATATTCTATATTAAACCCGGTTTTTTTTTTCATTTTTTGCACTATTGCATTTCTATATGTTAACACAAAAGAAACTCTGAAAATAGTAATTATAAAAAAAAACATGGCAAAAATATGTTACTATACTCGTGTGCATTTAATTAGTTGTCAAATTTTAAACCACAAACTCTATATCTAATAATATGATACTATTGGGGTTTTAATTTGACAATTGGATACATTTGTCGGATTACGTTATGTTTTCTTGATGACTTTTATAACTAAAAACAAGCTGATATTTCTTCCTGTTAAAATCTACAATAGTTCGTTTAAAATAATACTTAAACGGGGTTTATTTTTTTTTAATGCCCATTTGAAAGATTATAATATTATTAATTGTATTGAAATAACTCACTAGGTGTGTAAATTTAAAAAAAATGCAACATTACCTACGATTTTTTCATTATTTTACTTCAGCGATATAATAGTCCTACGTTTAGAAATATTTGATTTTTCAATTTTAAAAAATTAAAAATTAAAAATACATATGATTATGTTAATGGTAATGTTTTTCATAATATTACAAATTCAACTGTTTCCTGCATAATCAATTGATTTGAATTAATTATTTCAATGAAAATTATACATTAGACATTGGGCTGATTTACTGAATTTTTGACAATTTTTGTCATAGAATAAATTATAAGCTATAATATTATTGAGAAGTTTCAAAATGTATTATTATGTAAACAGGTTTATAGTTGTATTAAAACAATAATAACATAATCGATTATTATTATTAGTTATACAATTTGTATTTCGTATTCTTTATCGGTTTATTATTTTATATTCATTCTTCATTACTGCGTTTGTATATTGCACTCTGTTTGTTATTCTACGCACCCGCGATCCAGAAAACACTAATATGTTTTTACGTATATGTAAAACTGTATAACATTCATAATAAACCCACATATTTCCAAACCTAGTTTAAATTGTATTAATTACACATTTCTTATCTGAATCCCATTCAATGTCCCATTCCCACAAAAGACACGCCCTTCTCAGTATTGCGAATCCCACATTGTACACAGAATTGCATTGTAAAATAGACAATTAGCGCCTGTGTGCCAAACAATATCAAATCTATTAAATATACTTAAAAGCTTTAAATGTTATTATAAAATATTGGAGTGTGTATTAAATGAAAACAAAATACCGGATTACTAATTTAACAACTATCGCATTGAATTTATGTTAACGCCCGCAACCTGTGGAACGTTACATAATATAAAATGTGTGTTTAACGATAAAATAGTGTCCTTTAATTTATCTTGTATATCTTTGTTACCGATTATAAGTGATTCGGAAATATCCCCAAACCTATTATCGAGTTTTACATCTGTTGGTCTATAAAGTAACGTGGCATAATGTGCTAATTGATTCAATTTAAGTATATATTTTATACTTATGTCGTTATATACCTATATTAGACTCGTATATCTTCACGTTGCGTATTCCGTATCACTAGAATTCAATCGACGTCATAAGGAATTAGACCGAGTCAAATGATCGGTTTGTGATTGAACGAAAGAAAAAGAACTAAAAACAAAAAAACATTTCACAGCGCTCATTATCGAACTAAATCCTTGGACGCTTGATGATAGACGCTATGGATATAGCGTATCCATATCCAAGAATGAATTTTATTAGGTCAAATCAAAAATGACTTAAAATATAAATTCTTGTTTAATAATTTGTACTTTTAAGTATTTTATTATTATTTTTGTTTTAAATGCAAAGGTTAAATATTAACTCATTTATTATGCATATAGGTCTTACTATACAAGAATATTTTCGCTCGGTTGTTATTGACGATAATTTTATTCATACAAATAAAAAATATATTATAACATCAAAATATAGAGTATAGACATACCATTCCCAAATTCCTAAAAGTTCCTTTGGATGAGATATCGACCTACCATGTATAGATTAATTTGTTTTTACCTAAAGGGGAAACGGAAATAGTGAAATCAAAAATTACTAGTATGTTGGTGGATGACTATGAGGTAAAAGTAGTTATTCTGAATCAAAAGTAAAAATTATAGCATTCAAGACAGGTAGTTCCGGGATTTTTACAATATTTAGAATACATTTGTAGACTAATATATTTTGAAACGCTAAAAATATAAAGGGAAATTAAAAATATTGGAGGGTTTCCAGGTATGTAGCTAGGGAGCCAGTAAAGCCAGTGAGAAAGTAAAAATACGGGTAGATAGGCTAGTGAAGTAGAAAGTTGTTAAAAAAAAAATGTTGAGGGGCGTTGAGTAAATTTAGGGAAAGTGGTGACCACACCAAGGGATTGCGCGTGGCAGTTTGAAAAATATTCGTATAATTAAACGTATTTTCAAATTTGTTTAAATAATATCGTACCTACCTAAAATATTACTATCATAGATAATAAATAAATAGGTGATTCATTGTGGCTGACACGGTCAGCCTTAATATATTTTATAAAGTGCAACTTTTTCTTCTAGTATTAAGATAATAATGTATTACTAATGAATAACAATTAAAGAAAATATATTTAAAAGTACGGCATTCGACTCAGGAGACACTATCGGAAAAAAAAAAACTTATTGTCTTAAATTATTCTTACCATTATTTGTTAACCGTACCCCATAATCGAAAAACCTCAAACAGTACCTTATAATGCCGGAGAAAGATACAATCGTCAACGATGATTCTCTCTTCCCAAAAAATACTATGTCCTCAAACAAAACCGATATATCTATTGCCTATCTGTGTATCTATTACATGAATCTATGATTACTATGTCAATCGATAAACCATTTAGCATATGTTATTAAATTTTTAGCTGGGCAACGGACGTACATTCAGAATACCGTCGGTCCGGCCGTCCGGTTCATTATATAAGACTGTGTCGTCAATCGAATACGACGTTCTGATAGCCGGTAAGCTAAAGGTTAAATGCCAAAGCGATATATACCACGTGATCGGGTCGGAAACGGTAGTGATGCTGGACGAAGACAAACCGAGACTTGCGTCCATCCTTCAACCTCAAAGCCATTCAACGGGTAAGCACTAATTGTTATCATTATAACTATTATAATTTTTATAATAATACTATATTTATAATTTAATATTACATACATACAAGTATTATAAATTATAATTTATTATATAGTTTGATACATTGGTTAGTTTTGGAGATTTCGATAAAAACAGATATTATAATAATGTCGTGTCCAAAGATGTATAGTTAGGTATTGACAAGACCATAATTTAGGGCAATAGTAGAAAATGGCGCGGAATTCAGGATTTAAGTTTATTAGAGCAGACATTTTTGTGCGGCTAGACTACCGGAGACGCTAAAAAGAAACTACGACAGTCCTTTCCTCTATCTCCCCCCTCACACCCCCGAGAAAACAGAACTGTAAAAATCCGTGGATGAAACGAAACAATTTGTTCCCCGTGATAACTCAACGTTGACTTGGGCAATAAATCGACAATTTTTTTTTTCGATTACGTCCTGACATAAGCTGGCAAAGCGAACGAATGGAGATGGCCGAAAGCCTCAGATGACGCAATATTGGAATATTTGAGATTATGTATCTATATTATTATTTTTAACTTTTTTAGTTTCTTTATCAGACGTACGGACAAAAGATAATTGACCCCGTTTCCGCTTAAAACCTTGTTGTTTTTACGTGCACAAGTCCTCAGGGGCGAACGCAGGAAAATATTTCGAGGGAAGGGGTTGAAAAAGTATAAAATGTTCATCATGTATCATACTATTCATACTGTATTACTCTTTATTTTAGGTACTTATAGTATATATATAAATTAATTATTACAATTTTTCAATAAAAAATAAAACATTGTATTTATTAACATTAATATTATCCGTCATGTAAATTTATTATTTTATATTTGGGGAAATGTTATTGTACTGTGGGTATATTATAACAATAGAATTTAAAACTAAATAAATAATTATATAAATAGTTAACAATAACTCACATTACGATTAGCACCAGATTGTGGCATTTCGGGTTTCCGTCTTTTAGTTGATGGACTGTCTACAGACGATTTGTCAGAATCCACGTGAATCGGAATTTAAGTGGTATTTTTATTTTGTGGTTTAAAAACCTTTGAAAATGAATTTTTGTATTTGAGTTTTATATTACGCCATCATAACAATACGTCAAAATAAGTGAATGGTGATACCAAAAGATATGTATTCGTTAGCGGTTTAGGCGTATGGTTTATATTGAACAATGAAATTTCTAGAACTATCTATATTCTAGATAATATAGATCAATAGCAACTTTTCGTAATATATTGGTGGCGATGATAATTTATTAAATTTGTCTATATTACGTACATCATCGAATTAAACCCCCGAAAACTTTTAAATAGCTAATAATTACTAATTATTGTTATTAAAAAATAACTAATAATTTTTTATTAAATGTATTAATTAGTATTTGTAGGTCAGGTAATTTATTTTTTGTTCCTGATATTTCGGGGGAAGTTTAAACACCCAAATCCCCCCTGCGTTCGCCCCTCCTAGTCCTACACTCGTATACGTAATAATATGACGTATTGTTACTTGGAAAAGCGGTACACCTGAAACATAAAAATAACAGTAGAAAAACTATAACAATATAGACCTACTTAAATTGTATATATATATATATATATATCTACTTAAATTTTACGACAAAACTTTGTCGTCCATTCCCTCTTGAAATACATATTAGATTTTATAGGTATACTATTATAATAATATAGTCAGTATAAGTACCTATATATTATATTTGTTCGATATTCATACATAAAACTATTATATTGAAACGCCAAGTAAATACAATAAACAGGTACCTTTGTATTTGTGTTACCTATATCGAATATGAAAACAAATAATGGCAATAGTAAGACCGTTCTTTGAGATACATATTTATGCCCGATTTTAGTATAGATACGATATAGCTAAAATAATAGTACGTAATAAGTGTGTTCACCACTGTCTGAGAAATCTCAATTTGCTCGATTAGTTTTAAAATATCAGAACGCCGATGTGATAAAAACAAACGTGACATCGTCAATAATTCGACTTCGGGACGTTCTCTCGAACTGAAGTAATTTTATTATATTTGTGACGTGTATAATAGTCGTGCGCGTGTAACACAATACGTTTCGGCAGATGTTTTTCGGCGACAGCGAGTATTCGCGTTCCGTGTAAACTTGGCAATTTAACAGATATTAAGTTACAGCCAATGTCAATAAACTAGACGAACCGTTTTAATAAAAATATATTATAATACTTCACTGTTAGGAAAAATTTCAGTTAGCTTGTGAGATTATTTTTAAAAGAATATTGACGGTCTGAAGACATGCGTATTGTCACGATAGACCGGTAACATCCGATGTCAGATCAATGTCGATCTCCCTTTGTTAGGATTTATTTTTATACATTAGTAAGTAAATCATAATTTCCGAAAAATTTGATCTTAATAGATCATTATTTTGTTGTCAGTTTATCAAGTAAAAATACAGTTTAACAGTGTGTATATTGGCAATTTTATTTCTGGTATATTTAATTTATAATATTATATTAATCGTAATAAAAGTGCTATGAAAAAACGTTATTTAACTACACATTTTAGTAATATTTGTACACGCGTGTTTATTATTAATACCTATTAGATAATTAATAATCATACATTTTTGTACAGAAGTCGACCGTCAAAGCGAAAATATATATTCTTAGTATATTCTAGAGAAAAATGTTGTACCATCCCTGACGTACGCGGTTCATCCGAGAGGCCGAACAGAAAAATCACGCATAAAGTATTACTTAAATTTTACGAATTTAATTATAGTTTGAAATACCTGCGATAAAAGTGTGAGGATGTTTCGAAGCCTTTTTCTAAAATATCTTATAATAATAATTTATGGTATAATATTATATAAGTTGCGAATAAAATTAACATACAGTTATATTATGATAAATACGTAAAACATAACTTGCATACAGGTTACCCCTCTATACAACACTATAGTTTAAATGGCATTTAAAATCGCTACGAAAATATTATTTTAACGCCGGTGAGGTTTTTACCATTTATGTGGAAAAACTCGATTTTTCGGTATACAATAATAATTATTATTTTGCAGTCACAAGTCACATGTAAAGAGCGCCCTCTATCGATGACCGTTTTTCGTGTACAAAAGGCTAGTCTATTAGTATAAGACCTTATGTTAAATACCCATGAATCCAATTCAATTTTGACCGATTGCGTACGAAGTATGTAATATTATATTAGTATAATATCACATAGGGAATATTTAAGAGAGATTTTGGCGGTTTAGTTTATTATTTCTCAATGACGACAGCATGTCAATATGATTTTATCATATTGTAGCTTAATACCGGAACACCTCAAAATCACGAATTTGGCTCATATGGTAGGTTTTTCCCCGTCAATCAGTTATTAAAGTGGGGAAATATAGTCACCCGCTTCTTAATTAATATAAAATGTATTAGTCACATTTAGTTTGAGTCTTCGAAGTCCAGAGGGACGCCACTGAGACATGTTAAATGAATTTTTAAAAACTCGAATCAGTTTTATTAAAAACAACTTCTTTAATACTTCTTTATTTTTAATGGGCAGGCATACATATGCATAGGATAATATTTGTAGAAGGTTGCAGTTTTTATTCTATGAATGTAAAATGTTTATGAACAAATGATTGTGAGTGAAGAACGCATCATGTCTCCATGATGGGTTTCTAAAAGTTTGGTTAGGTTTAATTAGTTCTCGGGTACGCCCCTCAATTTTCAATGAAAATATAATTCCCCTTCGAAATTTTTTCCACTTTAACCATTGCCATCAATAAAAATACGATAAAATAGTGTGTTTTCATTGGCGATAACTTATTGTCATCAAAATATAATACGCGTATGTAAGAAATCCGGATGGGATATTTCGCGCACATATGCGACGGTGGACATATTTATATACAAGGTCATTAAAATAATAGAGACTCGGGGAATGGACTGTGACCATAACAGAAATACAATCTATATATATATATATGCGGGTAGATTTTGTGTTTTCAAAGGTCATTGTTGGTTTTTTGACACGGAACAATAGAGAATGACGTGCTTTTAACGCGTGAGGATTCGGTACAATAATAGTTTTAGGGGGACCCGAGAGTGTGTGTGTCAGTGACCCGGGGCGTGAACTGTTCTACTACAGATGATATGTAGGTAGGTTTGTGGATGGAAAAAATTAGGAAAAAATGACATTGGTGACACCTCTTCAATAGACACACTGTCCGTATGAAATAAAACTTTTTCACAAACGCTGTTACGAGAGAGAGAGAGAGAGAGAGAGAGAGAGAGATAGATAGAGAGAGACAGAGACATAGATATGACTTTGCAGTCTCCCGGGAAATCAAACATCGGCATGACTTGTGTACGAAAAGTATACGAAAGATGATGGGCACCCTCCGCATAATCAACAAAATGACTGATGTAAGCGAGAGAACACTCTGCTATATCGTAGGCATCGTACTTGCATTACGACGATTGTTGTTATTACGAATATTACGTTTATAAAATACAACGTGTGTATTTTTATGTTAGTAAGTATACGAGTATGTTACAAATAAGCGTAAATATATATGTTGATCTATGATCATAGTCTATATAGACGATAATTTTAAAACGTGCAAGCCCCGTTGAGAGTTTGCTTGTTAATAAGTTTTTTTCTTTTAATTTATATTTTGCCCCATTAATATGTATATTTCGTGATTAAAGTAAACTAGTTATAGTAGGTACAGACTCTTCATTACCTATTTCCACGTGCGAAATTTTTTTTAAACATTTTTTGGTTCGTGTAGATACTCGTGACTAAAACCAAAACTTCGCGTGTAATATAATTTCACATACACGTCCCTATAACGACCAGTTGTTTAAAAATGTAAAAGTCAACGAGAATATTTTAAAAAATGTATGTTATACATTATGTTATATGTGTTTCAATACCATAAAAAAAATTGAACGATATAAGTGAAAATGGATATTATAATATAGTCTTGAGTGACACGGCGAAGGAATCCTCTCCTCTGAGATGAACTTTAATATCGGTTGTTTATATTATTGTTTAGTGGGTCACAAAACAAATGCCTTTTAGCCTTTTTTTTTTTTTTTTATAAGTTTTCAAGAGTGTTTATGAGGTAACATTTACAATCACAAAAAAGTAAACTGTTATAATATAATAATAATAATAATAATAATAATATCGTAATCGGTATAAATTATTAGTTTTATTAATTTTACATTTGTCAAGAATTAATTAATTTTTTTTTTCTCTAACTAAATATAATAATTAATATAATTTATCTTAAGAGTGGAATATTAATTCCTAACATTAAAACCACTTGCAACAAATATTCGAATAATTTAATCAGATTAAAAAATAACAATCACTTAAAATACTTTATTTATTTAATTTAATCTTAAATTTGTCCCCACCTCTCTCTCAACTAAAAAAAAAATAAAAATAATTTATTTCACTACAACAGTTGATTATTAAATAACTACTATAATACAATAATATTGGTAACTTATAGTGTACTATGCCGTTCATAATGGTAACTAAGCAAATAATAATAGTTTTGTACGAACTTATGCAATAAATCACAATTATTTAAAATACTTACGATTCATATGATATTTGTTTTAAAAAAAAAATTTGATTATTTATGAATATAAAAACTAATTAATAAATTGTGTGCTAAAAAATTATTATAAGATCGAGATAAATTTATAATACCTTTACGGTATATTAAACTTTTAATTTTTTTTTTTTTTTGGTTTTTCATTAAATTTATATAAATTCTTTTCTCAACCTTTTTCCATTGTTGAGTTCGTATTGTCAATATTGAATAAATACTTTTTAAACTTAATTTCAATAAAATGTGTTTTGAACGAAAAGCAAAGTTCGTATAAAGACCTTAGTCAACATAATTTTTCCATTATTATCGCGACCTATATTAATGCGCTATACCAATTACAATAATTAATAGTTTATTGAACTAACTGTGTAATTTTATTAATAATATTTTGAAATTTAATATTTAATTAAAATATCATTATTATAGAATATATACTGTTAATAATAATATTACTACGTTTATCCGTTCGAGAATTTTAATCTAGTCATTTTATATTATTTCGAATAGTACTCATATACTATACAGATATACAATCATAACGATTTGAAATGATGATTTGAAATTTTTACTTTTAATTAAAATTATACGATCGTAATGATTTAAGTAAAAAACTTAATATTTTGCATTGCTATTGTAACGGAATATATCAATGCATCTATTACAAGGAAATAGACCAATATTGTTCAAATTGACGCAACGATGACAATGTAAAAGTAATCATTAGACAAAATGCTAATTCGATAGTATAAAACAATACGTTTAGGATTGAGACATCTATACACTGTTGTTGTTTTAAATCTTCACAGATATATATAAATAATCAACCAAAGCATCGCAGATGAGTATAAACACCGGCGTAATTGGTAAATTTCAAACGAACAATCCGTAAGATTCTAGGAATCAATCATAGACCTTATACTAATAGACTGGCCTTTTGTACACGAAAAACAGTCATCGATAGAGCGCGTTCTTCACTTGTGACTTGTAACTGCAAAATAATAATTATTATTGTATACTCAATGTATTGTGTATTTGTATTATAAATTTGGATACCTGGTTATTTATAGATATTTACTTGATTAATTTAAAATGTTTTTTATTTGTTTTCGCGAACAGTATTATAAAATATTAAGCCTAACCTTCTTCTATATTAAATTATTTGTTATAATAAGCTCTACTTACTTGGATTCACGTTGTATTATAAATATTTAATGAATGTTAATATTATTATTAATTTTTGTTAATATATAAAAAAAGTTTTTATAACTGTTATTAATTTCTGTTAATATATAAACAAAAGTGATTTATAACTATTTTTTGGTATTTGAGTTTATATTTTATAAATAGTTACAGTCCTATGAAAGCCCCATAAGAAAATAAGAGAAATGATAATAGTACGGTATTATTTTATATTGTACATACAAGGAAAACACTTATGTGATTATACTATACATCACTGTAGTATGTCTGACCGATTTCTACAACAGCTACTTTATAAACAAGGCCATTCTATTAGTATAAGGTCTATGGCGTCAATGCAATCTAGGAATGAACACTGGAATCGAAAGGTTCATTAATTCTGTTTCTAAAAAACAGGTATCCCTTCTACTAGAGAGGTGATCATCACAGCAGCGAAATTGCTGACGAAAATATTGGTAACGTCGGTCTTTGGTAACCTAAAAAACAAAAGTATCCATCGTGCTATACAAAGGATAGAATATTGAAAAACCACTTAACTTTACATGAATAAATAAAACCCAATTAAAACTCAGTTGAACACATTCGCCTCGCTATTAAAATAATATTATACATTTAGTATATTCAACTCAAAACAGAGGTAAATCAACACAAAGCAAAGCAAAGCTGGTTGAATTGAATTATTTAGCATAAATCATACACACAACTTCTACGACATCAAGGTATTCAACATATTAACATTCAAGAAGTCCCGAAGAAAGAAGTCACAGAAAACTGACCACTGGTCAATCCAGTTTCCGGAATCTTCAAGGCGATATCGACGGAGACACCAAACGTCAAATTCGCAGAAAACAGTTCGATATCATATTAATTCCACTTCAATATTAATGGACCTCCAATAAGTATTGAGAATTCTGAAGACTGTAAAAAGTTGGCTGATAATAGATGTGCCTACATTGATGTGTCTAAGGTACTAGGTCTAAAATAGCATAAAATAATTTAGACATAGTTGAGGATAGAAATGGTTTATGGCATATTTTGTCAACTAAATATATATGTTTATAATTTAAGTGTTTCTCTAATCATTAGGGTTCCTATAGTATTCTGTGTTAACTGTAATTAAATAAGTAATGTTTCTCTTAATTAACTGTTAAAAATTGTGCTTTCTTTTTTTTATTATTATTAAAGTTGCATTTTGATGCTCATTTCATTGTTGATATGACTTTATCATTTTACAAGCTCTAATTTGATAGTATACAAATTACATATAATTATTATTAAGTTATGTCTAACATGTGAAATAGTTTTTAAGACTTAAGTACGTGTATAAAAATTTACTAAACAGGGTAAGAAAAAAATTGTTTGTATACATTTTGTGAATTTGTTAACGTACTATCTAAGAGCTTTGCAAAACAATTAACTACGAGCATAACGACCGTCTTTTTAAATGGTTAAACCAGATTAGTTGTATGTTCATAAAATTATAATATTCGTATCTTAAATTTATAAAATATTAGCGTATACCTTACAGTTTTTTTTACTAAAACATCACTGTTTATAGAGGTCTTTAAAATAAAAAATTATTTCTTACATTTTAAATCTAAAATATTACCGATTTAATATTTACGCATATAGAACACGTTAATATTTTTACCCTCTATTCTGCTCGTTTATAGTTTAATTTAAAAAAATAAAAAAATGTTTAATTTATATATATATATATATTATAAATAGGTACCTAGTATAATTAAAGTCAAATTTACAAAGGTACCTATATATAAATATTATATAAATCCAACGTAAAAAATATAAGGCACATAATAAAATATGATTTTATGCCGGACAAATGAGGGGTGAGTATTATTATAATTAGTGCATTATTGGTCACAGAAAAAATAAAAGGACACAAAGGACAAAATGCGAGTTTAGTGTAAAAATATGGTACAGAGGAGGGTAAACATATTTCCCCTTGGGGAATGATGATGTAACGGGTCGGTCATTGCTTAGTCGTAAAGTCTAATAGATCTATTTTTCGTATAAAACCTCGGAGGCCGTTTGAAATCCTTTTTCCTTTTAAATCAAATGTAAGTACCCATATGAAAATGTATACAAATTATTCCATTTAACTAAAAAAAAAAAAAATGAAATGTGATGTACTTACCTAAGTATTTAAGCCACGGATTTTTAATATATATTTAATATAACATTTAATTAAATCTAAAACTCGGGTTACTTTTTAAAAATGTACGTAAATAAATACAACATCATGTAAAATGATAAATTTAGATACATTGAAGGCCAGTGATATAAATCAGTTAAATCGTAATTTATAATTTAATAATTAACAATATACTGTATCAAAAACAGTAGGTATCAGACCTGATGCTTCTGACAGGTTTTATTTAATTCGTATCCGACCACAATGATAAATACTAATAAAATACGATTCTGAGTGAAGTTCGGTTAATTGCATGTTTTGAAATGCCATGATTGTTGTCAACATATTAACTTTAAATAGCTTGAAAAAAAAAACATTTCTTAACATGTCTATGGTCGTGACCGGTGCTACCTGGTGGGGATGCGCGCCGCCATACGAAAACTGGTCGCGAGTCGTGAAAGCGGTATGTTCTTTTTTGAAACAAAGTATATGTATGCTCAACTTTTTTTTTCGAGCCAATAGTTAACTATTTTAATGAATCTCGTGTATCAATTTTCAAACTTCTCAGCCAAAATAATCGTATTAGCAAAATACCAAATAAAAACAAAAAAAAAAAATTTGGAAAGATCAAAAAAGGCTTATAAATAGGTCAAAAATTACCGAAATTTATTTTTTTTCTTCCATATAGAAAATGCTGATATAAGTATTCTGTCAAAATTTCTGATCTTTATAATAAGGTTTAAACGGAATTAAAAGAAAAAAAAAACGATATCGGAAATAACGCAAACCGTCATTGAGATTCCCCGTGTTTCCCGACTATAAGGAAAACTACACACCTCGATAATTTTCCAATTCGATTGAATTTTCTTTCAGAAAATATGCTACACTATGAAATCGAAGAAATATTTCTTGATAAAAAGTTTTTACGGAGAGAAAAAAAAAATACACAGCATACACACACACATATAGTAAAACCGATACGTTCGTTACTGCGCTCAGAACTTAAAATTAAATTTTAAAACCGTATAAATAATGTACTGAATAATTTTTACTAACGGTCTATCAACTTAAAAACCGTATTATGACTATTTGTAACATTTTGTCCGGAGACCTTGTAAATTGTTTATATTTAAATATGATGATAAATTATTATTATAATAAAATTATATTAATTAACAATTCATAAATCGTTTTTTCGAAGCAATATTTTACTATTTTAATAACAATCCGAACAACTCAGGAATATTAAACTTAAAAAATAATATTTCCTGAATGTTTTAAAAAAAAAGAAAGAAACGCAATACGGGTTACGGAAAATAGAGTAGGTAGCTTTAATAATTATGTATAATATAATTATATTTACTGTAGGTACAGATCAAAATTAAAATTACTCGTAGGTGCAAGCACATTTTCGAATATTTAATTTTTTAGTGCGTGTTTATGAATATTTTAAAATTTAAATCGCTCGAAATAACGAAATTGGCATATTTTAGATTCGGAGCATAGCAAGGAATTTATTGGTTTTACAATGATTTTTAATTTTTTTTTTTCTGTAGACAACTTTTCTACCAGAAAATTTACCAGAGATTTTCAATTATAGCACTTTTTATAAAAATCAATTTTATCTGAATGACACTTGAAGAAAGTCATTTTATTAATTTTTCAGGCGTTTTTCAAAATAATTTGGGAAAAAACTTAGGAAAAATGTACGTACATGCAAGAAACTTCGCTTCGAATCGTTTTTTTGTTAACAGTTTTGTTTATCAGTGCGTACATATATAAATTTAATTCTCCTCTGTATCCTATACCTTTCCAACTTCTCACCTTCTGCAGTGAGGCCCACCAATCGCGAGAAGTAAGTCTGTCTTTTTTTTTTGTTTTAACACCTCCCGAATTTCATTTTTCTTCGAGTGGATTTAAACATTACAAATACCGTTTTCACGTATGTTATTGTGATATCGTGATGGTTAACATCGTAGCCTATGAAACAACGTTGATCTGGATTTCACTTTGGACGCTAAAAAATAGCGCATACGCTCGCATTACTCGACGAGTTCTGATGATCGCGTCCGACTCGCGTTGATTAGCAGCCAGAGCGTATGCCACGAATACTTCTAACATTGCGGATTACGGGATTAGGGAATGTAAAAATTTGCGATATCACTACGCCGGCGTGCGCGCTTTAGAATTTAAACTCCGTCACAACGGAATGAACGCAAATATGAACTCGTTCAATGCATATTCATAGGGTTGAGATTATCGCCGTATCGTCTATTCCGTATCCATCGTATGTTGCTAGAGGACTCTCCCTCGCGCCTATTAATCTCGCCCGCGCCCTCGTACGGGTCGACGTCAGAATTATTGGCGGATCCGACCGAGCCCCGCGACGACACGACGCTTTAATTCTCCAATACGCATAATTTGTCACGGCCGGTGTATCAGACGGCGCGCGTGGTCCGCGCTGAATTCCTCGCCATTAAATTGTAATACATTGCGAATCGAGGCGAACGTCGCGCGTGGTCTTTGGAAATTTCTCGGCGCAACACCGCAGAATAGATACAATCAGAAAGGACACACTAACGATTTAAAACAAAAACGCGGTGACGGGGGAATTATGTTCGGCTACAATCTTCAATGCGTTTTAATATTGCATTATACTTACATTATTTGATTTACTGTCTAATTAAAATTCACTCCGATTTACTTTGAATAGTGAATAATCATCATTATGGGACGCTATTATACGTTCCTATAAAAACTGTGGAAATAAGATATCGGAAAAACAGGATATTTTAGTTATTTTACTTTTCCTAAAGATCCAGTCAAAAGTTATTATTTAATATTTCTCAAATCACATGATTATTATATTTTAAAATCGTACCACATATTTCTTTTGAGATGTAACCAGATATTTTGTTAATTTATAATCATAAAATACATTAATAATATATTTAAAACCATTAAATATCTATGAAAAATCATATAAATCTCGAAAAAAGTTATTAACTTGTAATATGGTTACATTGATTTCCATATTCGGCGGAAGACGACTGCCAAAAAACGTTCGATGTGTACGTATTCGTATACTGCCCATATTAATTGAATTCCGCCACAATTGGACATTCTCAGAGAGTCAAATAATTGAAAAAATGTTTTAACTTGGAGTATGCCGCAAATTGGATGGTAAATAGGGTTGTCACCTTTCCGGGTTTCACCCGGTTAATTCGGGTTTACATCAAAACAATGTCAGTGAATTATTCTCCTATAGTTTACCGAATCTTTTGCTGACGATCTTTAATTGGCTCTGAGAAATTTGAGATTGATGTTTATGATAAATTTTTAAGATATTTCAGATCAAAATACAGCAAAACATTTTTATTTTTTTGAAGGTACGATTTTTGGGCGCTGCCGTAGCACTCTCTATGCAGTGAGATATTTTATGAATCTGGCAACCTTGGTTAAGTCTTGTCAACGTTTCCCTACTGGTCATATAGCTGAGCCTGTAGGTACTTCGCGCCGTCTTCGTCCACCGTATAATTTTTAACGCGGGTTTTTAATCTTTAAGTGAGCCAGCAAGTTGATATAAAATAATATGATAATGCAATAATGAGATAACGTTTCGACATGCCGCTCAAAGCCAGGAGATACGTCTGCAATTACGACTACATTGGACCCGTTTCCGATCCAGTCCAATTCTTCGACTAATTGGAAAAAAAAACAAAATCGTTTACATTATTAGTAGTGGCTATATCTTATCCGACCTATCCGTTTCTAACGTAGCCGATTAGTCGGTACGTCGGAAGGGAGACAAATCGATTTGATTTTTTTTCTGACGAGTTAGACAAAATTGAGTTTTTTGGGTTCAATTATAATCAATAAGAAATTATAAACACTCCTCTATGTCGTGTGTGACAACTGGCAGTGTTTTTGATGAAAATGTTGAATATACTGTAGTTGAAGTTTATAAAGTAGAAATAAGTTGACATAATTAAATTGAACTATATAATATTTGATAAAGAGCATTTAATTAATATTGTTCGGTCAAAACCAACATTATAAGATAAAAGGTTGGCCTAGTAGTGTGATGAATGGATTTTGTAGAAGTCATAGCCTCTGAATTTTATCAGTGTATGGATGGGTGGTTTGGGTGGCTCGTGACTTATATGATGATCTCTGTAAAATGTGTACTAAAAAATGTACAAAATGTAGATATCAGTTGAAAAAAAACTGTCCTAGTTTAATGGGGACGGGCGCAACTACTGTTGTAGATAATTTAATGTATACCTATAACCAACGATAAACCATTTCATTGCTAACGACAAAATGATTCTGAGCCTAGTTCAGTTGATAATAATGTTTTATCAACAATATTTATGTCATATTATGGTAAAATAATTAAATAGGCATTATATATTTTCTTTAATAATATTTTATTTAACCCTCGTTCGGCAACGTTCGTTATAAACGATAAAGCGATACCGTTTCACAGTTAATGAATAAAGATTTATTGATTATTTTTTTTCGTTTCGCACTAAATAACGAACGTGATAAAAATAACACGATAAGTAATATTCAACGGCCGATTATTATTCAACCGAGATATTGATACATTTTTAATCAAAGTCACTACATGATTTTTTTTTAATTTCTTCATCAGCTCAAATCCGACCGATTACACCCAATCGGTTATAACCAATCTATGTTAATGCGATGCCTTTGTATGCAGTGAAGGGTTAACACTCGACCGTTCGTATTGTTATGCCGAGACGAGAGGAATCTCATTCAGCATCCAGTGTACCTATGTCATATTGTTTTGTGAGTTTTCCACTCATACGTATACTTTCGATTTTATACGTAAATTCTATATTGCTACTCTAACTTAGGTTTACTCGAGTTATAACTAGGGTTGCTACCACCTTCGGTTTTATACATATAAATGTATGCGTTCAATGAATTATTGTCCTGGTCTTCGTGAAATTAGTACTATTTAGATAATTATATATAGTTTGTCGATAAACGACGAGAAAAATGATTTTCATACACCAAAAGATAAAAGATAAGATAAAATAAAAACCCAGTTATAACCAATAATAAGATGGAAGACAGTGGCTTCGCCAGGATTTCTCAATGCTCCCCCCACCCTCCCTGGCAATAAAAGAACATTATACAAAATTAAATTGTATTGTTTTTACTTATTTGTACACTTATTATATGACCAGATAAAATATTAAATACATCCTGCTGAAATTAATAAAATATTTATAACTCCTCTTCATTTATAATAACTTATTGCTATCAACTCAAATAATTTGGAAAAATCTCTGTGCAGTTTTGGATTGCAGTCTACAGTAGTCTCTGGTCAGGCTATCAATTGCCATTGCTTTCTCCATATGAATAACTCTGATTTCGTAATAATTAAAGTCATTTTCGTAAATAAAAGTAGCAGCTAAAATTGATTGGTCGTCATAATGTGTCAAATTAGATGGCATGAGTCCTTCTAGTGGTATAATTGTTTCTAGTCTTTTATCAAATCTTGAATGTAACTGAGTAATTAGATTATCAAGAAATGGTATAAATATTGATATATTATAATATTCCTCTGGCGTCTTTCGCATTTATATAGTTTCGGGCAATTTGTCTCTCACGGGTTCGAGGCATGCATATTTCAACGTCTAATTCAGAAGCTATTGTGGTAACATTTTTCATTATTTCCTTAAAACATTTTTCAGCATCTGATTGAATAACTTCTAAATCTTCTCTAATAATCATTACATCATTTAAAGCTTTAGATAAGTCTTATTGTTTGCTTTTTAGTACTTGACTTAATTGATTAGTATAATAGAAGCAAGTTATAGCTACTTCAAGAGAGACAAAAAAATCACTCTTGGTTATAGCACTCACATATAACGACGTTTTAGTTGAGGTTTCAAGATTTTTTAAAATTGTATAAATGTAAAGTTTTTTGAAAATAATATGTGAATCGTATCAATCGACCAATCGTGTTTCTCAAAGTTTTTTCAATCTTGTTTTTTTAACCATTTTTACTGGAATTACTATTTTTATCAAAATCACCTCTATGTAACCTTAATACCACGGCTATAGATAATAAATACAATTTTTTTTCGTTGTATTATTATATTAATGACATATTATGTATTCATATTACCATAGGTACTTACGTACTCTTAGGTAAACATATAATATTATATGCTTATCTATGGATGTACTGATATAAAATCAATAAAAATAAAATACAAAAAAATACGTCCAAATGGGAGGGGAGGGCATCATTATGTATTTCAATATAATGTTGCACGAATTCGTATACAAATACCTATTTAAAATGAATTCAACAGGTAGGAAATATTGGTCTTTAGTCCGCAGAATTCGCGAATATGAATGCAAATAACCGGGTACCTTTTAAATAAAGTACCCATAATTTGAGATGGTATACAATTCTTTCGTAGGCACCAAAACCTATACGAAACCGAATGTTATGATTAATTATTTATGTACCCTAATAAACCTTTCGGTGTTAGTATAATATATTATATATAGGTGGTAATAATATAATTTATAATCGCAACTGTACCGCAATCGTTTCATAAACATATGGACCATATGGAACCCTTTGGTCACCATTATAAATGGCATCTACCGTAGATAATACACCGTCGACGCAAAGTTCCATGATGTATTGATTACAATATTGTGACAACCGTCAACAGCCATCATTAGTAACATGATATCTATAAACTCGTTTGTATTAAAACTTGTGTTTCAAACAAACGAAACACTAAGTTTAATGTACTTTAATGTTTATGCACGAAAATATTGCTCTAGCCTAAAATTTGTACGATATTACGTTTAAAATTGATTTAATAGAATTACTAATATTGGTTGTAATCATCGCTCACCGTTGGATACGTCCTTCATTGTGGCGGGCAATATTATATTCTAAAATGTTTTCCCCCTCGATTGCTTTATACCAATATTGATAATCACAACATTACAGACCGTAATTGTATTTCTTTGCTTCCTTAATCTGGTATCAGTAACAACACATAGAGTCTAAGACATAAGACTTTATGTATATATTATGGACAAATTTTAGCGCTATTTGATGCAAATTATACATATTTATTTTGATGAAGATTGTATAGACTACAGACATTATTGCTCTCTTGATAATAGTATTGTACGTTATTTTCTTTAATATCAATTGAATTTTCTTTTCTTTTTTTTTTTTTTCAGGATTGAAATCGGCTCACCCGGTCGGCACGATCTTATTAATCACATTCGTGGTCATCAGATAACGAGTCCAAACAAAAATGGGAAAAATAGTCCATTCGTTTCCGTGTATAAAATGTTTTGTATATTATTATATTATTTTAATGTGTTGATTAAGTGTAAAATGTCGGTTTTAAAAATATTAACATACGTGAGAGGGGAAATGTTACTACGCCTTATATTTTTACCCACGCAATAGAGCTTTCAGTTAAACAATTTACTTCACTAAAATGGAACAGTATATTAATATAAGTAATATTTATCGAAATAATCAAAGAAAATTATGGTCAAATACGATAATGGCCACGGAAAACATGGTAATTTTTTGGCTATTTTGGTGTGTGACTGGTTTTACCGGGTTGTATTTTCCATAGTCATGTTTGATTTGGGAAATGGTCGATGGCCGACGACCGTAGAGCTGACAGACAGTAGGCCGAATAATATATCGGACAGACAGACTATACGGCCAAATAAATTTTAACGTATCGATAAAAAAACAACAATAATAAATTTAAACAGATACGTATTATAAAAACCTATTCATTATAATAAATTGGTAGTAAAATTGAATACAAAATCCACCGTATTAAAAAAAAAAAAAAAACCTATAAAATGTGTAATGTGTATAATAAACGGTTTATAAATCTACAAGTGTGTACTATACCTTTTAAAAACCTATGTATTGATACAGATATTTGGTTTGACAGCTAGAAAGCTATTACAGCATTCAAGCGTATGTATGAGCGACATAGGTAGGACATAGTTTATAGAAATTTTAAAATACAAAATATATTATTATGTTGGCCCCTTATACTGTCGGTCCTACGGTCGTCTCGTCATCCTGTTTGATTTGCCCATTATTGTACCTAAGCTCATATATTTAAAATACAGACGAAATGATATTATCGATACTATTATTTGTATTAATTAACCCGGATTTGGCTAGACGGGACGGCTAATGAAAAATACGAATAAGTCGCGCTTATTTCCGTATTTACGATAAATTTTACGCCCGGGGGTTCGTACGATAACCAGATACTCGATTCGGCTTTCGTTCGTCTCCTTTTAAACAGTTTTGAACGCGGTCGAGTACATCGCAATCTTCGCATTACATATTATAATACATTATAGTTTGATGTACCTCTGGTTCAAAATGTAATAATTCAAAACCGACATTTTATCACGATTCAAATAGGTGTTTTATGTATATTTATGTATAAAAACCGTATTCCATGTTGTTGTTGTATAATAATTTGTATTTATATACATACTATAATGTAATTCATGATGTTTTTTCAAGTGTTTATGATTACGCTATTAATTTATAAGTAAAACGATATAAAATTTAATACCGTTTTCGTAATATTAAATATATATATATATATATATATGTATACATGCATGTATATTGTATATTGTATAAACATAATATATTTTCCATACACATAGTAAATAAATTATAAAATATGGTATTGAATAAAATAATGTCGGCGTTTGTATTTTCAACGGCGCGCGCGTAAGGGAATATCCGCTGAATTGAATACCATAAATTGTACAATTTTTTTGCGGATCATAAGAAAAAAGACGTCCTAGAATAATGAAATCGGGTACAGCCACTGATATAAGTAACTTAATGTATACCTGTAAGCAACGATAAACCATTGATAACGAAAAAAACGATTCTGATCGGAGTTCAGATAATAGTGATTCTTTGTGAACCATATAGAATATGTCATATTACGATAAAATAATTAAATAGACAATATATATTTTCTTTAATAATATTAGTTTAATATACCGATTTTCAGGGTTTTTTTTTTCTTCAGTTTTTTTTGGGAGGGGGGGGGGTTCACATTTAATGAGAAAACTCTTGAGAAAATAGAAAAATGACCTCTTTAAAGTACCTCCCTAGTAAAATTTCCTTTTAGAAAAATTGCTATCATTATATACTGGAACAAAATAGCTAGTTGAAAAGTTGTGCATAGAAAAAAAAAATCGTAATATTTTAGTAATATATTTCGTACATTTTCCCGTTTTTTTTTTTTTTCGGTTTTTTAAATTTGATGAGAAAACTCCTGAGAAAATTGAAATATGACCTCCTTAAAATACCCCTCCACACTGATTTCCTTTCAGAAAAGGTGCTACGCCTAAAATCGGAGAGTTTCTCTGGTAGAAAAGTTGCCCACAAAAAAAAAAAAAAATATATGTTTGTAAAACCATAAGCTTCTTCGCTCCACTCAGAATCCACTATAAATAAATAAATGTTAAATATTTAAAAAATAATAAAAAATAGTTTGGAATATTTCCTAGTATATACGTATACCGCGATTTCCGGTAAAAACACGAAAATTCACAAGCAGCCATATTGCTATATACCTACGCAGTTTCCCCCTTTAGAACTGCAAAATTTGATATTGAGCGCGTGCATGAAAAGAAATACATTGTTCTTAACATAATTATTATTTTTTTTTTTACATATATTTTTTGTATATATTAACGATTGTATTTGTGTCATACTGTCATTTATACTGTACCTATTTATTGAATATGGACATTTAATCGAAATGTTGTTTTTGTTTCAATTTGCATTATAGTTTACGATGAACATAGATGTTCCATACAATTACATCATTTGATACTGGGTGATTGATTTAACAGTTATTATATATTTTCCAAAAAAAATAAAACACCCCACTTTATTTATTTGTGCATTGGTTTTCTAACTTCGATAAAAGAAATTCATAGTTTTATGTGTACATGGTTATATGGTAAATTCAATATTAGGTGTACATTTGACGAGATAATAATAAAAAAAAAAACACATAATAGTAAAACCAATTTGTCCTTCGCTCCATTCCGAATCTAAAAGTTATCGGTAAATAACTTAAAAAAAAAAAATAAAATGCACTCAAGTTCCTGGAACCTTATAGTGGTAGTGAGGGGCTAATTCAAATAATATTTGTGTTTTTAATTGTTAATATCGAAAAATAATATCTCACAAAGAATACCGAAATCGCTTTTGAAAGTGTTTTTTTATAAACTAATTTTTTTTATTTTTACAGACAATTAAAATTCATCTTTTGAAAATTAATAAGCATTGGATAGGTAACAGGAATAGTAGGGGTGTTGCGTATTACACACCTTTATAGGAATACTGCAAACAATGAACGTAAAAGAAGTTAATTTTGGCGGGCAAAAGAAGGCGAATTAGGGAAAAATAATTAAAAATGTTTTCAATTGTAAAGAAAAGAAAAAAAAAATTAACCAAGGTTTAAATTAATTTTGGAATTTTATCCACGAAATTCGTAACCCGGAAACATTTTAGATCGAATTTTTTTTTTTTTAATCGGTAGGTATCATCTTTTCGTATATTGTATAGGATTATTCAAGTAAGTAATTTTCGGGGTCGACGTTTTCTTCTTTTTAAAAACAGCCGCGCGGTTTAATGTACTATACACGATTACGGTCATCAATAACCGAATAACAGACGACACGTATTTTTAATAAAACGCCGAAAAATCAATTGCCACACGCGCGCGCGTGCTGTAAAAACACTATCTCTGTCGATTTATTGTCACGCAAAACAATTAATAATAATTGCGCGCGACGGTCAGTTTTTCGGCATTCTTTTCGCGGCAAGTACATTATATATGATACCTATACAGTAGCACTGAGTCTGTTGAAACTTTTAAAACGTATTATGTAACAACAATAATCGATATATGGCCGACCGGGATGCATTGAGTGCGTGAAGAGTAAACCGTAAATAATCGTCAAAAGCTACGGCGCACATTTTTGCCATCGACGAACGCACCGTCGAAATCCGAAATATGTTAATTTTATTACGTTTTCCGTGATATGGACTGCCCGGGAATTTTCAGCGGGAGAGAAAAATATTATACGCAACCAGAGAACGAACCGCATAATATCTTCCTCTGTCTAACCCGGCGTGAAAATGAGAACTCGAAAGCCGGACTAAAATCGGCCTGAAAAGCTAATTTTTTACATCAATAAACTATGTGTATTTTTTCTCGTACATTTACTGAAATACAGGGTGTCTTACAGTGTTATCCTTATACTAATAATTCTGTCAGTGTTCATTTTTTTTCCATTCGGGTTTTGTGCGAGGGGGACACATATCTAGAGAAAAATTTAATTTTTATTTTATCACTTTTCAAAATAGCCATTATGTAAAAGATATTATTCTAAAAATTTGAATCTATCATACATTCATATCCGATCAAAATTTTCTTAGTGATAGCCCGTTTAATTCCTAGAAAATTGTCGTGAACAAAATTTAATTTCAACATAATAACAGGTTACGTGACAATAGGATTCACAATCAGAATGGTAATTCACTATTTTCTATTAAATATTAATTGTTTTCACGTCTATTTTTTATACATTAAAGCCACAATAACTCCCAACATATGATACATTAAACTTTTTGGAATAATATAATATACAATATGGCTATTTTGAAAATGTTAAAAAGTGGAAAAATAAAGTAACTTTTTTCAGTGATTAAGGGATGAAAGTGAAAAAAATTAATTTTTCTCTACAGATGTGTCCCTTCGTACAAAATCCGATAAAAAAAAAAAAATAAAAAAAAAAATGTAAAAAAGAAATTAATATTGACAAAGTGATTAGTCTAATGATAACATTGTAGGACAACCTGTATATATACACTATAAATATTATTTAACTATTTTGTATAACCTAATTATTTATTATGTAATGTAATCGTGTATACTATAACTCGCTACACAACCACAAGCTTCGCTTAAAGGTGAAGGTAATTTGTATTATTTATTTAATACTTTGTAGTTTATTTTATGATAGATTGGTTTAATAATAAAAATCTAAAAAAAAAAAATACATATATTTCCCTGGTAAAACTACTCAACAATAACCCGTGGATGTATTATTTTTATGCCAACGGGGTGCGAGATGTAATCCTTTCCCCCTCCCGTTGCACACGCCACTGAACACATAGGTACGTTGAACTTTGTTGTACGGGTTTTAAACAATTTTTCGTAGAACGAAATGTGAATTTTTCGCAAATTTTATTTTTATTATTTTTATTTAAATTCCATTGAAAATTAACGCCATAAATGTATTATGCGTTTACACCACCGAACGATCGAAACAAAATTATCAAGTTTGTTCAAACAGCAACTACAATATTAAAACCATCATTGCCATCGTAGATCACATAAGTAAATAAAAAAAAACATAAGTACCTCTAATCGCGATTGTAAAGTATTCCAATATATTAAACTATCGTAGAATGAAACATCAAAATAAATTAACTTAAAATATGCTAAAATATTAAATCATAATAATAATAATTTTCAAAATTGCATTTAATACCAACAACTTAATAAGGATCATTGACTCCAAAATAAAAAAAAATCATTTATTCAATTAAAACAAATAATTATGATAATTCAAGGTTAAATTCAAATGTAATTGTAATAAATTATATACAGGTAGACCCAATAGAAACTTTAACACTCGATATATATTGCAGAAATTAATACTCAATGAATTCACTCCAGAATCAAGTTTTGCAAACCATGTCATAGAAAACAAACATGAAATCAATTTTAATATAGAAAAAGATCTAGGCATGATAAAAAATCAAAGCAATATCTATGTATATTAATGATATTCTAGAAGATTACAAATCTTCAATGAAACCAAAAAAAATAATTTCAACAATATTTTAGGTATATAGGTAGACAGATTTTAAAAAAAAAAGAAATAAAAAATCAACCTTTAATTACTTAGGTAAGCATACGTTTATACCACTTCTTTTTTTTTCACGATATTATAAAAATAAAAATAAATAAAATAGTATGAATTGTTTTATGTTTAGTTTATGTTATTAATTTCTATATTTAAATTGAAATATTTAGAGAGGCTTTTTTTTTTTTAATATTCCGTTGCAACTTGAAGATGACATAGTACCGGAACTAGTAGTTATTGTTTTTATACATACATTCATTTTTCATAATTCTATTATCTTTCTCGATACCATAATCGACGGGTACACAAAAAAAAAAATAAAAAAATACGCGAAGTTATTTGAGTTTAACGTATCAAAAATAATCGAATACGAACGCAGAAAATATAAAATTGAATTTCTGTAACGCTACCATCATTGTAATTAAAATTAATTGTATACAAATTATAATACGTCCATTAATTCAATTTTTACATTATGTTCTTCCGTGTAAGTTATTAACGCGCATCTAGACTTTTGCAATTAACATTTTCATATTATAATATAGTATTAATTAATACTATGCG